TGCCATATATGCATATTCGCCCTTTCCCCAACAAAACACAAAAACTCTCCAAAGTTGCAGTCACGTTGAAGACATGATGTTGTAGTCGGGGCTCACACTTGCAGTTGCACATCTAGTGGCAGATATGCATGTTCACACTTCCCGCAACAAAACACAAAATCCTCCCAAAGTTGTAATTGTGTTGAAGACATACAATTGCAGTTAGGAGCGGCACTTGGAGTTGCATGTCTAGAAATGCAGTTGTAGTCAAGGGCAATAATTGCAGTTGGGTGACTAGTGGAGGACATGCACCTTCCCCCAATCCCCCTCCTCCTGACAAAAACATCATAGAGTTGCAGTCGCGTTGAAGACATGCAGTTGCAGTCGAGGCGACACTTGCAATTATGTGCCTAGTGGCGGACATGCAACTCATCTCTGTCCGGACAAAAACATCACCTAGTTGTCGTCGCGTTGTAGACATACAGTTGTTGTCAGGGGCGACCCTTGCCGTTGCATGCCTAGTGGTAGACATGCACCTCCCCTTCCCCCGAAAAGAGCACCACAAAGTTGTAGTCAGGGGCGACACTTGCAGTTGCATGCCCTGACAGACATGCAACTGCATCCTCCCAGTGAAACACCATGAATCTGCAATCGCATTGAATACATGTACTTCCAGGTGGAGGCGACTAATGTAATAGCATGTGTTGTGGTAGACATCCAAATATCCCCTCCTTGACAAAACACTATTGAGTGTTAATTGTAGTTACAGACATGCAATTGTAGTTCGGGGGCAATTGTGCAAATGGAGGGCGCTATTTTCAAATTTAAAAAATAATATTATTATTATATAATAAATAATAAATAAAAGGATAGAAAGAATCTTGTCGTTGGTAGGAAAAAAGTTTTTAAAAAGGAAATAAAAACAAAAAATACTGTAAATAAGAATGCAAAAGAAAACAATGTCACAAGCAACACGGACAAAAAAAGTTAAAAAGCACTAACTAGAAAAATAAAAAAGCGAGGATACAGATAAGTGAAAACAAATCAAACAAAAAAGCCCCACAAGTACAAAGAAAAAGCTCACCTGGCCGCGGGCACCCAACCCATAAAGCACGCGTCCCTATCCCATGCAAAGAAAAAGAAAGCACAGGTCGGCCGACTGATTAAACATAAGATAAACAAATGTTGTAGGAATCATAAAGCATTGTCGATCTAATGGTGAGACAATCGACTGAGACTTTCTTAAAACTCAGTCAACTGAGTTTTAGCAAACCCTTCTCTTATTTAATAATCAAGATTTTCATTTTCCTTGTTTCGAACCCAGGTGATCCCATGATGAAATTCACAAAGGCCGACACGGCGTCCGGTTTGGATCCTTCTAGTCTGGCGGAGGCCCCGGAGCTGGTCCGTTCGGTTGCCCGGGCCATGGAGGGACTTGCCGAGGAGATCCAGTCGCTTGACCAGGGCCATTGGAAATGGGTGCCAAGGTGGATCAAGGTCGTCGCCACCGAGCTGGAGTTGCTCAAGACGAATATGCTCCAAATCTGGTTCATCTCTGCCGTAGCCGATCCACGACATGGGGCACCGGCACAGCAGGCAAGAGACGCCACCTACTCCATCGAAGTGATTCAAGACAAGATTGAGTGTTGCAGGCTTCAATCTAGCCTTGTTCCACGTAACAAGATTCTCAATCATCTGTTCAAGCTGCTTCTTGCTCTGAGATGTCGATGGAACCGCTCCAATCCAGACAGGATCATCAGGGAGATCAAAGCTATGAATGAGAAAGCTCATAGGCTTGTCCCTCTCCTAGACAAGGGCCAAGGCCAATTTTCCAATCCACCGCCATCGTCGC